GGTGCAAGAGCGTACACTGCGGAAAAAGACACAGGCGAGAAGAGAAGGGTCTACCGAGATGAGTCCACGTGGCCTCGCAGACGACTCGGGAAGAGATGCCATGCGATCTACACCGTCCCAAGGCAGACCTTTGAGACACCTGCAGCAAAGCCCTCGCACAAAAAGCGTCAGTAGGATGGTGTCTGCCCGGTGCGGCAAACGGAAAGCGTGTCACGGTCAGTTTTTTTTACTGCCGACACAAAAACACCCCTCGTAACTCTTTCTGCGCACTGCTTGAATGAAAAGCAAACTAGAAGGAAATTCTGCAGGGGTCTCGATGCAATTACTGAATTGTTTACGCCTTGCGCTAAGATCTCAGTTTTCTTTTTTACTTTCTCCTATACGAAGCGTACAAAGAGAAACTATTGTAACTCGTCAAAAAATCGAACTGAGGATTTTGACGGCCTATGTTTTAGCACTTCCCTGAGTCCGTAAACAATTTGGGAATTGAATTGTCTGTTTCATGTAAAGGAACAGGTATAATTCGAAAACTTAGAGCTACAGGATGAACACTTGATGTATTGGTCTTAACTAATTTGTAGGTTTCCGGTATCGTTTGACAAACTGTAACGGGAAGTCCGTCTGTCTGTCTGTCCATGTTCGTGAGCAACATAACTCAAAAACCTGATACCTACGGATGGATAAATTTTGCTAGCTTATCAACCTGAATGTAGGTTCGTATAAAATTTAAATCCAAATCTGTCCAACGGGTTGACTGTCGTTGCTGTGGTCTGTATAATCGCTACTTGTAGCCTTCTCTTTCTAAAACATTCCATCGCATGTACTAGCAACTTGGTACCAACGTGGAGAGGTTATACGCTCACTTTGTCCCGACGAGTTTGTGATTGATATGCTTATCTCCTTGTTTTGTTTTCTGCTCAGTATACGATCTTGCTGAGTGTGATGGAAAAATAAATATTGCTAGTTTAGTACATAGGCATCTCTTTAATATGATTCTTCACTTATATTTTACAACTGCATATAATCTGCAAATGAAAACCTCTCTGATATCTCTGTTGATTCTGGTACAGTAGATTCTGATTTTTTTATCACGCAAGTGGAGGGAATATGATTCTTTGAGCGTATACGAGAAAGTAGGAGGCTACTCCCCACTGGTTTCTTGTCGCATACAAGCTAAGCAAAGAGAAGGTATTGTAACTGTAAAAAAAATATGTGACTCCGAATTGGTGAATTCAGTGAGGAATCCAGGGGACGGGCATATGCAGCCGCCCCTCCCCCAGAGCTGAACCGAAATGCTTTGCAATTTGAATTTAAATCTCAACTGTTTGTCTTACATTTTATTTAAAAAAATATAATAAACCATTTATAACTTAGCTTGCAGGTTTAAAATGTTTCCACTTTTTGTCATTCCACTATTTTAAGAATGTTAGCCGGATGAAAACATTGATTGGCTTATTTATTGTATTCTTATAAATTTTCGATATTGTAGTAGTACCTTCTATTTGTATTGTCAGGAGAGGGAAGCCTGTAAAGTTAAAGAGATTTGCTGATGACGCACTGTCATACGCTGATTACAGCATTTATGCCCTCAGCCCCCCCCCCCGGAACACCCGAACTGATTCGCCACTGGGCTGGAATTCTCCTCGTTTAGGCCTCTTGCTGAATCAATAAACCAAAACGCATTTTGGAATTTTATCCCTATTAGTACAAGATATTTCAAGGTATTTCACGGTCAGTGGCGAATCTGGTACTTCGGGTCTGGGAGGGGGGGAGGCCGAGGCATAAAATTCTTGTCAGATAGGACAAGTCAAACCTCAAGGCTAAAAGTAAACCAAAACTGTCTTAACTTGATAGACTTGACCTCACCTGACACAGAATCCCATAAAGAACAAACACTCGATAATTTAATAAAATTACAATGAAATAATAGCTACAAAATGTGTTCGACGCGATCAAAATAGAAGTCACAAGATGGAAATGACTACAAAAGTGGAAAATTTCTGAGCCGTATAGCCACAGAAGTAATGTTCAAACGTTTTTATTATTTAAAAAAGAGGAAAATTTTAGACGCAATCCGTCAAGAGAAGAGGTTTAAATGATACTAGTGGTTTTCACTAGCCATCAAGTTTTACCAATCCAGTCAAAGAGAAGAGTACAAAATGCATACTAGATGGTTTTCACTGACATCAAGTTTTGGAGGCAACCATGTCAAAGAGAAAGAGTACAAAATGCAACTAGATGGTTTTCACTGTGCTATCAAGTTTGGACGCAATCCGTCAAAAGAGAAGAGAACAAAAATGCATACTGGCAAAGAAGTATAAGAATGCCTTTTTCACTGTGCTATCAAGTTTTGGACGAATCCGTCAAAGAGAAGAGACAAATCACCCATGTCATACTAGATGGTTTTCACTGTGCTCATCAAACAATTTGACAACTGTCAAAGAGAAGAGAGCAAAATGCATACTAGATGGT